TGTAGAAAAGCCTAGTATAAATTAAACTTTAAATTTCCTTCCATTGGAAAGTTCTGATATAGTGATGTCACATTTTGGGCAGATTCATTTTCACCACGGGCTGAACTTTAATATTGCAAGTACTGTCAGAAGATTTTGTGTTAGTTGAAATTCCAGAGTAGTGGTAGAACTGGGCAAGGAGTGGAGAAACTTAATAAACAAAAGGAGCCTAAGTAATACATTAAAAGGATAATCGAATTTTAATTCAGCTCACTAAGCTAGAAACTTCTGATCGGCTTTCCATCCTTGAGATTTGCTTTCTTTAATCTTTTTCAGGAAAAAAAAAATCAGTGAGATTTTTTTCAAAGCTAGTTTTAAGATAAAGATTGTGGATGGAAAGATTTCACATAATTCATTAGTGAAATGATGTACAGGTAAAAAACAGCAGCCAAATAATTCAGTCAGGGTAGCATTGACCTAGGTGCTAATAATGTGTTAATTTCTATTAGGGAGATGGCAATGTATGGCAACTTAGGCAGGGGAAAGGATTTAGCTATTTTTCATTAGCACTTGGACTTTGATAAAGGGGAATAGAAAAGAGCTGCTTGACCTTTCAGTGCTTAAATTATTAAAGAGCAAATAGATTTGAGGTCTGGATGCTTGCAAATCTAATTTGTCTTGTGGAGCAAGGATGAAAAGACATTTGGGGTGTGAAATTGCTCCAGTCAACTTAGTTCTTTCTTTAATATATCTGGAGATGAGTAGATGGTATCCATTTAAAAAGTAATATGTCTGGAGTAGACTGTATAATATAACTAATACTAGCTGGCTAACAAAAAAGGAGACCCATAAGTGTTCATTTAATTCTCAAATTTTCTCTAACTTGTTGATTGATAAAAGTCCTATTTTTCACCCATAATTACATAGATGGTATTTAAGTTAACGAAACACAATTATTTTGTTTCACTAGGGAACAATAGATTGTATTGTTTAAGTTAAAGTAGGGCAATGCCTGACATAGTAGGCACTGTAGAAACTTTTACTGCTTTAGTAAACAAAGAACACACTCATACATTACACTTAATGTTTAGGGTAGAGAAAGGGTGGATGGGTAGCGGGAGATGGAGGTGCAAGAGGGTAGAGAAAACATGAAGACTTAAAAATTCCCTTGGTGTTCATTATTTAATATGTATATATATTATATTTATATACATGTATATATAATGTAGTGGGTAATCAGCAGTTTTATATACACACACACACACACACACACACACACACATATGTGTGTACTGGGTAATCAGAGGTTCATACTGTCTCTTAGTTTGTTTTTTTGTGTTGTGTTTTTTTACTGATGGTTGGCACTCTTACAACTTGAGCCACTGCTCCACTTCTTGCTTTTTGTTGGTTAATTGGAGATAACATTCTCTCAGATTTGTCTACCTGGCTGGCTTCAAACTTTGTTCTTTAGATCTCATTTCTTGAGTAGCTAGGATTACAGGTGTAAGCCATTAGCTCCCAGTAAGTTATCTAAAATAAATTTAACCAGCACCATATGTTTTCCTTGGTAAATTTCTCCTCTTTTAATCCTTAGGTGTTAAAGATGTAACTATAAAATTAGTTTCATACTAAATTTTAGTAAAGCACACTTAGGAATATCAGTGAGCTTCATTCTAACTAGCATATATCATGTATAATATACCCCCAAATACAATGAAAGTGACTTCTGGATTGTTATGCTTTCAAACATAGCTATCAGGGCCCAGTTTATTAGAAGACTCACAAGACACAAAAATAACTTAACCATAGCCTTCCTGGATCCTCTAAGAACTTAAAAACTTGAAAATAATAATTATATCAGTATATATGGTCCTTTTTGCACACATATTTTTGTGAGTTTGGAGCAGAGCAAGAGTATATGAAACTGTGAAACCCATAGTAAATCCCTGGAAAAGTCACAGAGAGTTCCTAAAGTTAATGAGAATCTTCCTGCTGAGAATTCCCAGCTAAATAAAAGGCTCATGCCTGAAATCCTAGTGACTCAGGAGGCTTAAATGTGATGATCAAGGCTTGAAGCCAGCTCAGGCAGACAAATCTTATCTCCAACTAACCTGCAAAAAGTTGAAGTAGAGCTATGGCTCAGATGGTAGAGTGTCAGCCTTGAGTGAAAAAGCTTAGGGAGATCACAGTCACCATGGCAAGTCTCTGAGTTTAAGCCCTAGTGCCAGCACAAAAACAAATAGATCAAAGAACTTCACAACTTTGATGGGGGGGGGGAGGAAGAAGGATTGGGTGGGCCGAGGATGGGAAGGGATGGAAAGGGGAAACAAAGGAGGAGGCTACAATGCTTGATGAGAAATGTACTCATTATCTTGCCCATGCAATTGTAACCCCTCTGTACAGTATTTTCACAATAAAAAAACAAACAAAAACAAAGTAGATCAATAAACAGACAGCAGACTTCTGCCCACTAACCCAAGATGAATGAATAGAGACAAAGAGGTTTCCTTCTGGAGAAGTCAGGATTTGGTGACTTGGAAAGTCTGGAAGCTACTGTGCTTTTTCCTGGAGGCAGTTTAGAATTAGGAAGGAATCTCTCTGCAGGCAGAGAGATGAGAAGATACCAGCCTGGTACTGAAGTCCTTGTGTAGTCCAAGGACTTTAGGAAAATGGGAAAAATAAATATACACATACTAGACCAGGTGGTAGTGTCGAATAACTTCTGCATTCAATATTTTCTTCACTTATATCTTCATTGTTCAGCTTTGTTTGCCACATAGACTTCCTAGAAGTTATTTTTTTAACTAGAAATGTTCATTTTGTCCTACAGCAAATAAACTAGAAAAAGTGACTCTTTGAGGGAAGTTGGTGTTATAATTTATATTACTGAAGAGTTCCTTTGCAAATCAAGTAATAATTTTCATGGTTTGTTCATTTTGTGAGAGCAATTCTTAACACGTTGAATACAAATTCTAGGTATTTGAAAGACACCATGTACATCCACCTAATTCTCTCATTTCCTATGGAAAAAATTTATGCCTCCCTCCTCAAATTAACTTAAAGTAAATTAATTCGGTTGTTAGCAGAATTATATTAAAGCCTAGACCAATGTATTGTCTTAACACTTCACAAAAGCAATCTCCAGAGGGTGGTTGACCTTTATCAATGCTGTGTGAGTCTGATGGTGTTCGTGTTTAACTTCTCCCACAGCTGACATCTAATAAGGGACAGGTGGTATTTAGACTTTGTCCTTGACCCTTTACTCATGCTCTTACAAACAGATACATACTGGGAAAGTCTGGTTGGAAAAGCCAACCAAATAAATGGTCCAACCACCCTGAACACACCACACTCCATAGGACACATGTAAGGAGTCTGCTCCAGGACTGCAGGACTCCCAGCTGACAGACAGCAGCTTGTCAACCCGTTTCAGTAGATTACAGCCAATGGAAAGTCTCTGATAAGAGGAAGTAAGATATTCCTTTCTGCTATCTCTCCTTTCTTCCCTGGCCCTCCCCTCCTCTTGCATTTGATTTTATATAACTTGTAAACATTTATCATCACCCTGTAAATCTGTTGTACTACCTGTGTACAGGGCAGAAGTTCTAAAATAATTGATTTTTAGCTAAACAGAATGGTAGCATGCACTTTACAACTGTGTTAAGAGGTTGTATTCACTAAGACAGAAGGTCTGTGTAAGTACAGATTCAATCATCACACAGACAAGAGAGCCCAAGACGAGAGGAGTTAGGCATCCTGTCATGTGCTTCTCACTAGGAATTGTGGGTAGCTGAACTAAAAAACACTTGAATTACATAATTGTTCGAGGGAATTGTGGTGTTTCTCTGTTACTTCGGGGAAAAGATGCATCTCATCTTCTAGAAGAATTTGCTAGAAGGATTTGTCATCTAATTGGAATTCAGTTTGTAAAAGCTATTGTCAAGGTTTAGTTTCTTCTCACCAGGAGAAACCAGTGAGAGGAAACTACATGAAATGTTCATTATTCTAGCAAATTTAAATGTCTCAATGTTTTAAAAGGTCCATCCTTCAAGGTTTCTCTCATACTTCTGAGGTTATTGAAAATTAAAGACCTTGGAAGTGCGTGGGCAGATGCCTTTGGTCTGTTCCGCAATGGGTGAGGCCCTCATTCTTGCAGGTGTTTTTGAAATTTCTCATTTCCATCTTATCCTTGTTTATTATTTACTTTTAGAAATGACTTGTAGCTCCAAAAGCCTTGGTTTTCTTTATTTCACTCCCTTTCTTATGTCATCTCTGACTGAACATGGTCTATGGCAAAGGAATGTAAGGCAACATTACTTAATATGAATCACCACAAAAGAGTGTTGGTGACTTGACAAAACTTCATGCATTCACACATATGCCATGGAAGAAATAAATACAGTGACTATGTCTTTGTAAACCTACAGTCAATATAATTTCATTTCTCATGACAGCCAAGTTAATGTTCTGCAAAACTATCTTCAGTTACAGGTTTTATTGTCTGACTTATAAACAGTAAAATTGTCACATATTTTTAAAATTAGAATGAATTTTGTTTCTCTCAGTGAACTGTTAGTTTGATATAGCGCCAATGACTCATATCTGTAATCCTAGCTACTCAAGAGACTTATATCTGATCATTTGATTTTGAAGCCAGTCATAGCAGGAAGAAGTCTCTTACTTTCAAATAACTACCAAAAAGCTAGAAATAGAAGAGTATCTCAAGTGATAGAACACCAGGCTTGAACAAAAAAGCTAAGGGACAGTGCTTAAGCTCTGAATTTGAGCCCCAGTACTGGTACAAAATAAACTAATCAGTGAGTGAATGAATTTAATAACCTGTTCACTAAGCAAGAGAGAACTGAGGAAGAAGACTGAGTGTCTACTGGCATCACATACGTATTATTGTATATTTTCTATTTCAGGGTGTTTTCTACTTCATATACAGTTCTATGTAATGAAGGTAGCATGTATCAGTTCCATTATCATAATATGTCATCAACAATTATATTTTTTTCTAGTGTCTATCAAATAGTTGTTGAGGAAGAGCGTCCTCGAAGAACTAAGAAGACAACAGAAATCTTAAAGTGCTACCCAGTGCCCATTCACTTCCAGAATGCATCCATATTGAACTCACAGTACTACTTTGCTGCTGAATTTCCAGCAGACAGCCTCCAAGCTGCTCAGCCTTTCACAATTGGTGATAATAAGACATACAATGGATATTGGAATACCCCCCTCCTTCCCCATAAAAGCTACAGAATTTATTTCCAAGCTGCTAGTAGAGCCAATGGGGTAAGTTTTATAAATGACTGTTTATTTAGGCTATGGAATTATTAATGTGAACCTTGGTTAAGTAAGATAGTAGGAGAAAATGAAGTCATACAAGTCACACAAAGTGTGAATTTCCTTGTAAATAATTTTATCATTTTCAACTAGAGAAATTTGTGGAAGAAATGAGTATACCTATTTATTTTTGGTTGGGAAAGCATATTGTCAATGTGATTATTTTAATTTTTAGATGTTCTTATTACCAAAAGTTGGCTAGTCATTCTTAGCTTAGGTTACTATTTTACAGGAAAATACTATAGCTAAACTCATATGTTGAGCTCATTTACAATTTTTGTGAGATCCACATCTGTCTCTTCATCATATTCTGCCTCATTTCCTTAGCTCTAAAGCCTTTATACTAAAAAAAAAAAAGTAGATAGCTGTGGCTATGTTTGAGGCCTTTTTTTCTTGTAAAATGATAAGACAGAACCAAAATATATCATTTTCAAAGTTTTCTCCCTTTCTGTTTAGATTAACCTAGGACTTTGAGAAAACTTTAGAGTCATCTCAGATAACAAATGTGATGACTGATATTCTGTGATGATGTCTCCCCTTCAAAACAGAGATCTGGGTTTCATGGTCCACTTGACCTCTATCAGAAAAAGTGGGGAAAATCCAGGATTCAGAATTCTTCCCCAGTGTTCTTTATATAAAGAGCAAGCACAGGTCTTAAGTAGGAATCTGAACCTAGAGCCACCAGGAAAGACATTTCATGTGTTGCTCCTCCTGTTCATCCTGTCTGGAAATGTCTACCACCAATGGTCCTGGAGCTAGAACATGTATCCAAGCATAGTTCACACAATAATTATCACATGTTAGTAGCTATACTTGGAAAAATGATGTTTCTTTATCCATATTACTCAACTGGAACTACATTTGCATTACTGAAAATAAAATATGAATAATAACTTTACCTCTTTATATTTGCTACAGGAAACCAAAATTGACTGTGTCAGAGTGGCCACAAAAGGTAGGTTGAAATGTGGGATGATCTCCTGGTTTATATTTTTCAAAATTTATCTGCTACTGTGTTCCAAAACCTCTTGAAATATAAATTCATTGAATTTAAGTATGTGTATTTGTATGTAAAGGTATCATGGAAACTTACAAAGTTTATATTGACTATTAGATGTACATGTTTCTTAAATGAAAAACTACTGCTTTGTTCCAAGTAGTTTTTCATGGTTATCTTTCAAAACTCATTTTAAATGGTATTACTTTTTATATGATGGCAGTATGCATGTTTTAAGCCACAGCATAGTAGCTGCTAAAAGTGCATTCAGTAAATTTTCATATACAAAGAAATAAAATATCTCCATCCCCCTTGTGTTGCCTAGACTGCCCCCAAGTTCCTGGGCCCAAGTGATCATCCCTCTTGATGATAGCTAGGATTACAAATTACACCACTGTGCCTATCACACCTGCTGTTTTCCAGCAGTGGTGGAGTTGTAATAACGCTGAAAGTCTGCATAGACTTTTTGTCAATGCTGATGCTTGTTTATTAACCTACAGCTGGTTACTCTTACTGTGGAACTTGCTTCCAGGCCTGCTTAAAAACCTAACATGTGACAGAGGATGAGCATTGAGAGTAGATAGGATGACTGCATGCCTTCTTCATGCAGCCAGCACTCCCTAAGGAAATGTACCCCTTTGTCCTTGCACCTGCACAGAAATGTCTCATTGACTTTATAGCAGCACCTGACCATAACATACAGAAGAGCATGAGAAAGTAACTGGGATTACAGGCATGCACCACCATGCCCTTCACTATTTAGATATATTTTTAAATAGTTGACTTTTTATAGCATGTCATATCTAAGTTCTTTTATAGGAATTAATTAGTAATGAATTGAATGGAATTATAACTTTGATTATGTTTCATACATGTACTAGCAGCTATTACCAGAATATTCAGAACCCCCAAACCAAGTATCCATGTAGATCCATCTGAGATCCTTAGGTCATGGCTGTGCTTGAATAGGACTTTTTGAAATATTATATTATGTCATTCAGTTTCCCTTATGGTCTGAAAGGTTACTCTAATTCCAAGTGCCTAATTTATAATACCTTATGTTTAACATCACAGCTGAAAGTTTTGAAATCAAGTTCATATATACATGTGTTCTCATGTATTTCTTCACTATTACTAAGAAAAAGGAGACAAGTGCTGCTACTTTAAAAAAAAATTTACATACTTATTTTTGCGTGTTTGTGCTGGTCTTGAGGCTTGAACTCAGGGCCAAACACTTTCCCTTAACTTTATAATTTAAGGCTAGCACTTTACCACTTTAACAGCTCTTCTTCAGGTTTTTATAATGGTTAATTAGAGGTAAGAATCTCACATATATTTTTGCCCAGGCTGGCAAAAAATATACTTAGATCTTGCCTCCTGAGTAGCTAGGATTGCAGGCATGAACTATTGACCCATGGCCTTACTCTTATTTTTAAGGTGAAGAAAAATGGACTTGGGACATGAACTGTTTTATCAGGGTCTCTCTTCTAATAATCTGTGGATCAGGGCTTGGTCCCAAGCACTTGGACTCAGGGTGTCTTCACCTTCATTTCATGCTTAAAGCCCAGCAGAACTCTGGCCTTTATACTAGAACACAGTATGAGCATCTGACCTTGAGTCACTGCTTAGTTTACTGGGGGAAAAAAACAACGAAATACCTGTCATTTACATAGTTAAACAATTATATAAATAACAAATCAGTATATATGAAAGCCTTACAAGTTTGGAGTTTTCACAATGGGTTTAATTTAGATGGTGATTTGGATCATTTTCTCCCATCAATCAGAGTCCATCAATATTATCATTTGTTTTTCAATTCACCAAAGTATGATTAGGCAATCGAATGACCTGATTCATGGAATATTCCCCATTTTGTATTTTCTGAGTCACTTGCAAACATTTACACAGCAACAAACTCTGGCCATATAACTTCATTGAGAAGGAAAGATAGGAAGAAAACTTTTATTCACTGCCTAACTCATTCATTTCTGCTTCATGCAAACACAATAAGGTAGGAAATCTTAGGAACTAATCCTTCCGTGGGCAGATGACACTGTTGTATGAAGTTGTATTAAGTTCTACACGGTCAGGTTCATTGACTCCCCTTTACGACACAATATATTGGCCACCAGCTTTATAATGAGAAATTTTCCCTTCTATAAACTAAAAATTCCTTGTATAGCACAGGAAGCTATACATTCCATCTATCTTCACTGTTGAGTCAAAACAGGGGAATACGTAGATCTAGTAATGTCATTGGCATCATGTAACGAAAGATGTTTGAAATTCAAGAGTTCGGAAAACCCTGAGTGGGGGAGGGAGGAGTTGGGGAGGTAGAGTGGGAAGGGATGGTAGGGGAAAAACAAAGGAGGGGGGTAACAATACTCCATAGGAAATGTACTCATGACCTTATTCATGTAACTGTAACCCCTCTGTATACTAATTTTACAATAAAACACATAAAAAAGATTGGACATAAACCAAAGGCCTTTTAAATAAAAGAACAGTTAAAGACCATAGTAGGGGCTGGGAAGGTGGCTCAGTGGTAGAGTGCTTGCCTTGCATGCATGAGTCCCTGGGTTCACTTCCTCAGCTTCACATAAGCAGAAAAAGCCAGAAGTGGCATTGTGGCTCAAGTGGTAGAGCGCCAGCCTTGAGCTGATGAACTGAGGGACAGTGCCCAGGACCAGAGTTCAGGCCCCATGACTGACAAAAAAAAAAAAAAGAACCATACCCAGTGGATCACCTATAATCCTAGTTACTCAGGAAGCCACAACTGAGAATCATGGTTTGAAGCCAGTCAGTGCAGGAAAGTCCAAGAGACTCTTATCTACAATTAATCATCAAAAATACAGAAGTAGAGCTGTGGCTCAAGTGGTGGAGCACTAGCCTTAACCACAAAAATTCGAGAGTGCCGAAGCCCCAGGACCAGCACAAGGAAAAAAAACAACCCAAAAACCTGTAAATCAGATCTCCATATACCTAGTGAGTAATGGTCAGAACCTAGCAATAAAAGAAAACAAATGATTAAAAACAAAAAACAAAAAACACCTGAGTGATTTTCCCCCATACTGCTGATAGCATTGGTGGCTTGGTTGATTTTCAGATACCAAGCAGTTCCCCTAAGTAGCACCTCCCCAATGCATAAAGATGTAAAAGGTCTCATGAAACAGCTTTTGACAACCATCTTCAAACATGGAGGTGGATTTGTTTTACAGAGAAATAGTTTGTAATCTTAAGTAAGGGTTGTGTCTTTAAAAATGCACTTGATACTGTTTGTAAATTAAATGTTGTGATTAATCCTACTCCAAACATGTATTTTGGTATTCATCATAGCAAATATAAAGCCTCATAAAAAATAGATACAGCAAAAATATACCTCAAGTGTATCTTAAATATTTTTGTATTTTGAGGGTTGCCTATATTTTTTATATATCCTGTTTCAATTTGTTCATACAGGTAAGATCCCTCTATATAGGCTCACATGGCAGTAGGTTGATTGTTGACTAGAGACAAACTCATCACAAAATAGTCTCCCTTAAGATAAAAAAGATACAAAACCAAAGACACCATATAATAAGGTATTTGTGATATTTGAATATGACCATTCTAATTCAAATCTATACCATGAAGTAAAAAAGAGTTTTTCAATATTTTTTGTTGCTCCAAAATTTTATTTTGTGTTTTTTAAGTCATAGTTGCATTTTTACAGTTGAATTCTTCCTCCCTCCCTCATTCTCCCTCCCTCCCTCCATCCCTTCTTTCCTTCCTTCTTTCTTTCCTTCCTTCCTTCCTTCCTTCCTTCCTTCCTTCCTTCCTTCCTTCCTTCCTTCCCCTCCTTCCCTCCCTCTCTCTCTGTTTCTCTCTCTGTATCTCTGTCTCTCTCTCTGTCTCTCTCTCTGTCTCTCTCTCCCTCTCTCTCTCTTACTGGTTTTGGGGTTTGAACTATAGGCCTGGGCACTGTCCCTCAGCTCTTCAACTCAAGGCTTCTTCTCTACCACTTTGAGCCACAGCACCACCTCCAGTTTTCTGGTGGTTAATTGGAGATAAGAGTCTCATGGACTTTTCTGCCCAGGCTGGTTTTGAACTGGGAGCCTCAGATCTCAGCCTCCTGAGTAACTAGGATTACAGGTGTGAGGCCACTGGCACCTGGCCAGTTGTATTTTTTTCATGATCATTTGATCCAATTGGTTTTATTTAACTTAGTCTGTGTGTTTTATTTAACTTTTATGTTTATAGATCCCTTATTGTAACTGTAAAAGTAAAGCTATCATGAGTTTTAGAAGGCTTTATGGATGACCAGATGTAAACTGACAAGGTAGACTTACAAAAGTAAAGTCTATCTTTATAGTAAATTAAATGTTGCCTATGAAATGATGTATACACATTGTAATCAACACAACAATAAGTTTAAACTGTGTATATTACATTAATCTTTGGCACAATATGGTCCATACTAAGATGCCAAGTATGTCTGTCTTTGACAATACAACTTTTGAGTTTTCCTGTTAGCTATTTACCTTAAAAATTCAACTTGAATGCCACATATGCAAAGTACATTTGTAAGCCTTCTAGCAAGTTTGGAGACTTTGAGTTCATGAAAGTTTCGGAAGTTTTCTTTGTTTCTTTTTGTTGATTAGGGGTTGGTCATCCATGTTAATTTGTTCCTCTCCTAGCTGTCGGTCAGCTCACAGCAGAATAGTTGAAAGTCAAAACAAAATCTACATGCAAACACATATTAAATTCTTTTCAGAAGTACTGGGGAAATCAGACTGTAAACCTTAAACTGAAGAAAACATTATTTTTCCAACATTATATTTTAAGGATGTTCTGTGAAAAAGATGCCTTGCTATTTGTAAGTTTGGCATTTCATATTGGACTCAGATTTGTACTGAATGTGAATACATTTTGCTGGAAGACCTTGAGGAAACTGAAGGATTTCTATTGTTCTGATATAA